GCCTAAATTAGTAAGTACCTATAGTAGGATCATATTCGATGCAAAGTAATATATCATTGCCTGCCAAGGGATCCAGTGCAGTACGGTTTTAAGTGGTTTAGAAATTAGAAATAATTTCATTATGCATTATGAAGGGATGAAGGGATCAGTTCACATCTGGTATACCTACAGTATTCCCTTTATTCTCATAAAAAAATTTGTTTTAAATGTAATTTATTATAAACCAATTTGTTTTTTAAATTCCACATATGTACTACATTTTACCTCTGTATGCGCCACTGTTGTTTATTTGTTTTTTGGAGGCGGTCGCTGATTTACGACCAAGCTCGCCAGGTTAGCATTTGGCATATAACTGACCACTTCGTACACTCGATGTACCTGGGCGACTGCGGTTACTACCAGAATGCAGTGTGTAGGAAGTGGTATTTCAGATTTTACATTCAATTTCATTTTAAATTTGAAATGGTTCATCATACGCGTCTTAAAAATGACGACACGATTTTCCTTTGATAAAAGACCAACAATATTTTGCTCTACTTTGCATCGAATATGATCCTACTATAGTAGTTCTCGCGTCACAAATTAACAAGGAGTTATTTCTAATGAACTTAACTACATTGACCGTTTCTGCTAAAACATATTAATTCACTACTATACAGAGTGTACCGTTTTGAAACGTAGGTACTAACTTTAAGAATTGATTGACTTGATTTTGAACAAAAATATTCATGTGAACATAAATCGTAAATCGCTTCCCAACCGAGATACAAAATTATTTTTATTAACTCTTTTTCCCCTGACATCTAAAAAACAGTAAGTAATAACGTAAAAGATGGGTACGTTTTGTGGTTACATTATTGGTGGAATTTCTTTGAAATATTATGACATTTTTCGAATCAACAATACTGTGAGGTTAGATATCTTGCAATCGATTTCATAGGATTTTTAAGAAATATTTTTGAATTTATATGAATTAGTTTGTTACCTTCAAAATAAAGAAAAAATACGACCATCATCACTTACATTCATTCATTTTGTGTCAGTCTTTGGTATTTATTCATCGCTACATAAGGGAATTTGATGTAAGATGCGAATAAATCGGTGTCTATCGACCCCAAAACGGACAAAGGGTAAGATATATTTTTAATGCGTTTGTGAAGAACCCCTCTTTAAGCATACAAAAAGCTAATAGGCAACTGTGAATTCCTTCCTCCTCATTTGCATGCGTACCATGTACATCCGTAACAAGACCTGCATGCTGGCGATCCTGATCACCGCATTGATTTCTGTAGGTGGCTGGTAATGTTACCAGATTGTCTCTCGAACTTATTCTCTGTCCTTTCTGCCATACTATTAAGGTCTCTTGTCTTTGTCATTCCCATTACGCACTCCCTTCTTGATCTGCATTTGGTCAAGATGTAAAAGCTTTCCAATAGAATTTAAGGTACACGTGTGGATGGGGCTATCCCGTAACTTTTTTGTATGTATGCCAATGACGACAGAATATTTTTTAAAATAAGCACTATTTTAGAAGATTTTTTCCCTCTTACAAAATTTTGATATCGTTTATGGATTTCGAGTAAAATTGGCATTTTTTACACATTAAATAATATAAAATCAGTTTAAGATAAATAGAACATTCTAGTACGAGGTACCATATAACAGAGAAACAAATTCATAACAATAATAATTAAAAGGTTCTGTGTCAAGCTAGCTGTGATTTAATTTTAGCTTACTTTGTTTTTTATTGAAATTTATACTTTTGCTGAACAAACTGATATATTAGTAGTTTTGGGTTATTGTGAAGGAAATTGTTGTGCTACTGTTCGAACATATGCTGAAAGATTTCCTAATCGAAGAACTCCAAATCACAAAACATTTGCTAATGCGGAGAGACGCATTCGGGAAACATGACGTTTTTTACCTGTAACATTAAATCGTGGATAATGTACGGCCGGAATTATTCAGCTGGAGGAACAAATTTTAGAAAGGGTCAAGGAAATTCCTCAGGTAAATAAAAGGCGTTTAGCAACAGAGGTTGGCTTTCAAAAAGTTCCTTTAATAGTAGTATTAAAAGACCAGTTATTACAGGTTACAGGTATTACAGGGTACAGATAGGTATTACAGGTCCAACAGGTGGATAGGTAGAGGAAATAGTGCCCCTTTAAAATGGCCACCTGGATCCCCGGACCTAAACCCATGTAATTATTTCATTTGGGGAGCGTTGAGGACCACAGTTTAAAATAACTTTTCAGTAAATACATAAAACGAATATGGGAAAGAATACAACATGAAATTAATGTTATGAGAAGTAATGCACAATTACTTGATAATTTCTAATTTTCGAAGAACTAATGTTTGCGCTTAAGAACAAGAAAGTAACTTCATGAGCATTTACTGTAATATTATTTTAATGTGATTACGGATTACAAGTATCAGTTTATTTAAAATGTTAATGTTGCCTTTCTTACATTATTAGTAGATATTGTTTATTTAAAATATCAGTGTTGATTTTTATTTTATTGATTGAATACTAATACCAAAAATGTGTAGTTATTTTTTTTAAGTGACGTTTTTTCATTATTATTCCCTGCTTTGAGGCTGCAGTTATAAATTATTTTTTATAAATCGGAATTTTTGCCTATATTTAATGTATAAAAATGCGAATTTTACTCGAAATCCATAAACGCTATCGAAATTTTGTAAGAGCAAAAAAATCTTATAAAATAGTGCTTATATTTAAAAATATAACATTCTGTCGTCATTGGCATACACACAAAAAAGTTACAGGATAGCCAGTGGCGCACAGTAGAGATGAGATATCCGGTTCATTTTGTTAACCCGGTTCACCGGTTCCGGTTCCTCATACGGAGCCGGTTCAGTGAGCCGGCTCAATTGAGCCGAATTTGTCATGACTATCCCTTCCCTTAGTTCTCTACTTTTCTTCTTTTCTAGTACACTGCAGCCCGTGTAGCCGAGTGGATGTATTGCGTAGCTGACTTAATAAAATTATTAAACAGATACATAAAATAGATTGTTTAATAGAATTATGTATTATTTTTATACAAATATGTTAGAATCAATATTTTGTTGATTATTAACTAGCAATTTAGAAAGCACGTAAGGAAAAAAAAAGAAAATTTTGGAATTAATTTTTATTAAATAATAATTTTTTGGTGAATTTATTTTTTTGTATTTATTTGAATGAAAATTTGTTTTAACTACTTATTTATCATTTGAAAAAGTAGCGAATAATACAAATAATACACCCGATATCTGCACTGTATGAATTGTGCGAGTGCACTACTCTTGATTTCGGTTCACCACTTCCGACATTCGATGCAAAGATGCGAGAGCCGGGACGGATCTTTGACAAGGAACCGGTTCACTCGGCTCAGTGAGCCGAATCAGTCATGTTCCGCCCATCTCTAGCGCACAGGCACTAAAAATAGAACATCCTGTATATGTATTCTCTAAAAATTCTATATTTACCTTGCCCTTATATAAAAAAATAACTGTACCAAAGTTTCTAAGAAAAATAGTTTTTAAATTATTTGAAAAAAATAGGTTATCTATTCTATATTTAGAAGGCTATATCTCAGTAGGCGTGCACTTTTGTATATAGGTAAGTTAAGCTAAATAGTCTTATTTTCATCCAAGGTCACCTGTGGTCAAGCGTTGTCCATCCTTTTCAGGGACACCCTGTACAATACTTTCATTGGGTCTCCATATTTTGCCTGAAAATTTAAATGTCCAATAATAATTTTTGATATTCTTGGAAGATACTTATATCAATTTGAATAAAATGTTTTCTTTTATCTAGAAAAATTCTTATATTCATGTAGAATGTTGCCCTGCTATTACTTAGTGGCGGCTGGTGAAAAAATAAATTGGTCATATTTTGATAATAAAGTGTGGGACCTGTACCATTCTTTAGGTCATATAGAGAACTTAAACAATTCGGAAAAAATTAAATTGGGTAAAATTTGGTGAAAATAGGCTGAACATATTTTATTACATTTTCTGGCAAAATTGCGTCATTACCGTTACAAAACTTTTTCTTTGCGAGTTTGGCGTAATCTGATGAGCATATAGCAAAGTTATTTCCTTAATAAAGCGCTGGAACAAACGAACATCAAAGCTCCTAGAAATAACGCAAAATAAATTCTAGTCCGAGCCTTCGAACAGTACAAATTAGCATTTAAATTTGAAATTGTTCCTCCGAATCCTTTTTTGCTCCTATGGACAGCTCTTTTCTTGTTCGATTAGCGATCGACCCTCATTCTACAGACAGTAAAGAGAACGGTGACCTCGCCTCGTTTTCTTTAACGAATAAGAAATGTAGCGCCGGAGTTGCTCCTTTTATTGATGCACAATGAGAATTTTTACATACATCGAAATATTTCTGATATGAGGAAACTATAAAAATCAAACTGTCCTGTTTTCCGTACAAGCCATTGGGCCATATAATTCCATTTCTTTTTCTTACCATAGCTTGTCCTATCATTCCTTTATACAGGGTGTTTCAGGATTAAGTCGACAAACTTTAAGGATATTCCTCATAAAAAAAAATAAGAGAAAAATATACATTTTTTTCCAGAGACGTTTCATTTTCGAAATATAGGGCGGTTAAAGATTTTTAAAAAAATTCGAATTCTTTAAATAACTTCTAAATGAAGAAAGCTATTTAAGCCAAATTTGGCATGACACATCTTCTTATAAGATACCATTTTTTCATAGAAATAGAAGTCCCGCAAGCAACCAGTGGCGGAGTTATGGGGACTCAGACTCATTAAATTATAAAAAAAATAATACGGCCCTACTGAAAATAAAAAATGATGCTGTTTTTAGATAGAACAGTTTGTTATTGACAAAAAGTGTACATTCACTTTTTTCCTAACTCTTATAGTTTCATGGCAAAATTGATTTTTCGGAAGAATGCTTCTAGACATAATTATACATACCCCTTCAAATTTAACAATTATTTTTTATTGTTACAGTATTGTTATCGATGACTTTGATTCAGCCAAGACGTCAAGCAGCAAAGAGATGAAAGTAACCCAGGAAATCAACACACATCAGCCAAATGTTGCCAAGCCTTACACAAGACAGTCTTCAGATGCGTCGATCAAAAAAATACTGGTAAGCATGTAAAGAAATTAGAAAATAAAACATAATTTTGCGATTCAGTTACATTGTTTGGAAAATTTATTGATAGATTTCAATTTGAGAATAAATAATAGTTACTACGACTCAAATCTGGATTAACTATAGTCTGATTCTAGTTCTTGTCATACGTTAAAAATGGATAGTCTGCAATGCCACTTGTTCTGTGTTTTATTATAACAAATGGATATTGAAAGTACTCCAGTAATTGTAAACTAGTAAAATAATTGTTTTTTTGCAATTTAGTTTGAGTTTAATGGTACCTAGACATAAATCCTGTCTAACTTGAAAGATTTTCAAAATATTTTTATTTTCATTAGTCCTTACATTCTGGTTGCAATAAAATATCGAAAAATGTCTTTATAGAGGAACACAAAGGGGTAAACACAGAAACATCTGAAATAAAATATTATTAATATTACTTCAGATTTAACAGGAATGTTTTGAGACTGATATTAATATACATATTTATTTGAAATATTATATACCTGATCCTAACAATCAAAAGTAATCATTTAAATTTGAAAAATCTTCTGAGAATGAGCTACCCTGTACAATTTTGTTTTCATGTTATTTACTAAATTAATCAGTTTCAGTAAAAAAAACAAAAGTATTATTCTAATTACTCATTATGTACGTCGATTTAACGTTCCCAATTATGTTAATCAAACTGACCAATTACTAGTCCTCAATTATAAAAAATTACCGCAAGTTATTTTATGTCATGTGCGGGTATTTATCTTTCATTAATTTTATTTACTACCACACGAGTTAATATAAAAAATAACATTTGCTATTTCCCGGATACTAAATGTTATATGTATTTATTTTTTGGTTAGTTATACGAATATGTATATTCGGTATTTCCCTTCAATTTAACTCATGAATGCTATTCTGTCGCTTTTTCTGAAATAATAATATGTCATTATTACCTACATCATATTAGGTGACTATAAAACATTGCTTTAATAAAAAAAAGTATGCATGTGCGTCAGTGTACTATAGCTTTATTTACATTTTAAAAGTTGTGGGGAATAATATCACTGCTTTTAGCTAATTCTACCAAGTTCTATCTCGATCCATTGTCAAAAATTGTTACTTTTACATAATTTGAGACAATATTTTTTAGTTCTTTTCTGTTTTTTTAAATAATTCAAAATTTTAATTTACTATGGTTTAAAATACGTGTCCCAAATGCATATACAAATTTATTTTCGGAATCTTTTTTCTCGCTAACATTTATAACCCAAGATATTGAAGGTGTAAGGTTTTTACAAATATCTCGCGTTGTAAGCATCGGACATCCATAAGGTCATATCAAAGTTGTAGAGAATTTAATTATCTACAAGATTATTCTCTTACATTTTTTCCAAAAACCTCGCCCTATTAGATATTCAAGGTCAAAGTTCCAATTCCATGACGTTCAATGCATTGGGAACGAGATATTCGCGGAAAAAAACTGTTTTTAAAACTTTGACCTTCAATGTCTTGGATAGTGTTGTGATTTTTGTGATTTTTGCTATTTCGGGTATGGAACACACCTCAAAGAACACCTGTGCGAAAATTCAGCTTGGTGGTAATTTTGTCGAGATTTCCTCCTTTTTTTGTCTAATTTCCTTGGCTATTTATACAATTAATGATGCTTCTGATTGAAATATATAATTTTGATATTTCTAGTAAAATTTTGTTATGGAGGTACCACATGGTACCTATTTCACTACAAAATGGAAAATTAGTGACGTAGTTTATTCACTCTTAAGTTAAGCAAAAATATTTTAAGAGGTGATTCCTGATGTTCATTTTAATAAGAAAAGTTCTTGTGAACCTGTCCGAATCCTGCTAAAGTTTTTGAAAAATACAACATATACTTAAAAACATATGAAGGTGTTTGACATAGATTGACGAAACTTGCGCTATGGATTTAAATTTATACATAATTATATTAATCTATGGTGGATAAGGCGTCTCTGTCAGCATCTCCAACATTGATTGATATAATTGAGTTTAACAGCTTCAGAATTTCGACACCACTGAGTAGTTTAGAAATTCGATTTTTATTATTATCTATTTAAAATAAGCTTATCATAGTTATATAAATATAGAAGAAACATTTCTTAGAAGTAAAACTATCAATTAAATTGATTTATCTAATATCTACAATATTCAGTGGCGTCGAAACTGTGGGATTGTCAGTGACAGTGTCTCTTTAGTAGAACCATCCCTGGCTGATATATTTTTATGTTTAGTTAAATAAACCAGTACTTTAACTTAGGTTTCATCCATCCTCTACAAATATCATCTGAGTTATTTGAATACATTTTTAAAACTTCTCTTCCAACTGTTTGGAAAACTTTAGACTTTTGATCTAAAATACCTAACTTAAGAAACAGTCTTAGACTTGTAAAACACCTTGTGGAATAAATTTACGTAATTAAGTTTTTCTGCCTTTTTATTTTCATCGAATTTCTTTTTTTCTTTGCAGGAAGAAGCAGAAGTTAGGAAGCAAGAGTTCTGGAAACTCATCGACGAACACAATGCGGTTATAGAAAATCTCAAGAGGATAGAAAAATTGGAGAGCACTTCGTGTAAGGTGACGCAACCGCCCATCAGAACCTAACGAGGCCGAAGACTCACCATGGTGCAATATTTCGTTAGTCGATGTATTGAGTTGATTGTTCCAGGGCATTTTCGCTAATTTATTCACAACATTCAATAAAATGTTAGTTTTATTTTTTGACGTATACTGATGCAAATGGAAAAGGATGTACACAATGTAAGCGATAAGTAATATACAATTATACTGTGGTTGATACAGTACTAGATAGGCGTTGAGCACATTTAGAATTTAATTTTGTTTATAAAATCATAAAGTGATTCTGAAACTATTACGTAATGGTTTTTTACTTTATCTGTTTAAGAGGGATTTTGGTTATTGAGATGAATTCGCAAAATCCGAAAATATTGTAACACCAACAATACAATATTTTTAAAATCAATATATTGTGTATTTGTCATTGCAAAATGTCACCTGAGTACCTACAGGGTCTGTATATATTTAATTATTTATTATAGACTTAATTTGAATGTAATTGCACTATATTTTCAACATTAACTTAATATTGTACTTTATGAATTTATTCTAAAGAGTAAAAAATGCTCACGACGAAGCATTCGTAAGACTGCTTAATTTGATAGAACGATATGTATTCTAGCATTAAGTATATTTTTCTGTTTAGGCTAGTGAAATAAATCACTCATTATTGTAAGTATTTTGACAGATCAAATAAATATTTTAGAGTAAGAAGTGTGGTATTTTTAACGAACATAACCGCGAAAATAGCTGCTAGGTAAATATGCAGTTACGGTGATGCAGGAGGGCTAAAAATACCTCTGAACAACGTAAAAAAATTAAAATAGCCTTTGATTACGTTAGTTGTTTCATGTGTCATACATTTTGTTTTATTTTTAATTTTTTATCAAATTTAAAACAAAGGGCGACAACTGAAGGAATAATTATAATGCGTTTCTGTAACTATTATGTTCGAATACCTTATGGAGACTGCATAGAATTGAAGTTATCAATAAAATGCTGGTGATGATAACTTGATTGTATGAGGAGAGAATAGCAAAACCTATCGCATACTGACGAGAACTGACGAATAAATCCGACACCAGTCCTTGTGTGGTAACTCTCCTGATGAATCATTCAGTTATTTACTGGATATTGGAAGTGTAATTCAATACCAGTCAGGCTTATATCCCGTGGAATAGTTATTTCTCACAATATATCGTTAGTTAAAAACCTTTTACTATAGAATTTCATTACAAAACCTTCCATAACTATTTTGAAGTATTTACTTCACATTTAAAATACATTTGCACATTTGCTTAGGTAGAAAGAGAAAAAATTCAGTTAATATAAATAAAAGTAGTATAAACAAAATTGAATATTTACTACCTGTCTTACCACTTGCTTTAATAACACTGCATATGACGTTTTCAAATCGTATCAGAATAAAAAAATGTCAAAAAGTGTAGAGACAGTCACCAGTAATTATAGATATCTTTTCCGTTTTAATGAAGAAAACTGGAAAACGAAAGTGCACTAGCAGTTTAATCTGGTTAATAAAATAGTGTTGCAGAAACCATTGAAATTAAAACACAGTTTCAAAAAACGTTATGAAGCAAAACAACTCGGGTATAATCAATACAATGTTCCTAGTGCAACGAGAATATTGGGTTAGGTATATCTGCAATATGACGGATACATGTATACGGTATGTCTGCAAACTGTAGAGAAATCATTTTAAGAGTGATTTTACTAAAGAAAATAATACTGGTTGACATTTTATGAAACACTCAGTATTAACGGAACTACATAATCAAAATAATTTTTTCTAAAACATTTAGGCATATAAATATTAGAGAGCACTAAGAAATAACAAATATCATCTTTCAAGAAAAAATATTTATTGTTTTGGAAAGTTTAGTTATGTTGGCAAGTAAATTCCGATAAAATTATAACAGTAAGATCAAGATTACATTAAAACACAACATTCTGTTTCACCGGCTGTGATTGGTGTTATTTTTCAGGAGATTTTATTCAACCAATCAGTGATAGCATTATCTTGAGCGTAGGCGTAACGGTTTGTTAATGTTCATTGTAAGCGAATAATTAATATTGAGTTATTGAAAGTGGACTTAAGCTTTAAGCTGAAGCGGATACCTGTCTAAATTTTAGTCCAACACGGATGGGAATAGGGCATAGCATTTGTTACAATGTCTGGAGGATTTGCAATAGAGCAAAAACAACACATTATTAATTTAAGATTAAGCATTTACGTTGAAGCAAATGCTTTTACATTTTCTCTTTACTTTAAGCAAATGCTTCTGTATTATTCATGGGACCCAGGGCTGTTTTTTATGAACGTTTGTCATCAATAAAATTTTGTATAATATGTACAGTATTTCCTTTGTATTTCTAAAAAATATCTTTAAGTAGTAACGTCCATTAAACATCATAATATTCATTAATTTCCACTGCACGTATATTTTGACACTTCAAACGTCCCAAGGACGTGGATGTCCCAGAGATGTGCAATTGTGAATAAAACAGATGCCCCAAGGAAATTCAACCAAGTTCCTAAAGGAACATTCATTGTACGGATGCCCTAGATGTCGTTAGAATGTGCTGGATAGGATAATGCTATAATAAGATAAATATTCCGGCGAGGTTTTCTTAATTTAATAATACTTTTAATTTGCAAGTTTGCATTTACTTGCGCTTTTACGACTTAAATAGCACCCCTGGTCTGAGGTCGTACTATTGTAAGCGTATCGAAAGATTCTCACTACATAGCTTGAAGCTATGCAACACATTGTATTGTTCTGCTCTGAGATAAATATACAATATGTTTCTATTATTAAATAAATATTATTGAAAGCAACCAACAATACCGTTTTTCAAATGTATGGTAGCTTCGTGTAGTAACACAGTTGGCGGGCTTGCTGATGCTTTGAAAGCATGTCCATCGGAATTAATCAAATATTAGGGAGGTTCATTGAACGCCGCCGAAGAGTTCTTGAAATTTATATGAAGAAGTAGTGTAGACAACAGGGGTTGTTTTATTAATATCGTTGAAGTTGATAAATTAGACGGTTTATTTCGAACTTTGAAATGACTTATTTTGTGTCATGGTTTTAATTTATTCTCTCAATTCTTTTCATTTTCTACAATCACGTGACGAATGATCGAGAAAAGGTCAATGAACATTAGTGACATAGCGCTGATTGACGCTTCCACCCTGTTGGGGGTTAACATCCCTTCTCGGGGGTGGACAATTTTTTTCAAAAATAACGCTGGAAATCGATAGAGAATCAAATTTTGAGCAAAAAATACTCGAAGAATTTTTTCGACAAATCAATAGTTTTTTAGTTATTCACGATTGAAAACTTGGAATTTTGAGTGAAAAAAAACACTTTTTCAAAGTATTTTTCGCGAATAACTCAAAAACTACGCACTTTATTAAAAAAAAGTGTAATAAACAAAAATGTAGCTTATAAATAAACAAAAAAATCGTTTTTTAAAAACGTACGTCCTATACAAAGCAAAATATGGTTAGTGGAAGGGGACTTGTTTTCGGGGGAATACTCGAACCGATGTATTCAACGTCAAATAACGGAAAAAGGGGAGTTTTTTGTAGTACTCAAAAAGACCTTCAAAATGAGCACTTATAAAAATTAGTTAGAGCAAAATTGAAGGAGTTATCGTCAAAAACAGATGGGTAGCTCAAATTTTTTAAGGAAAAATGAGCAGTAAACGCTGTACTATTTCCATCAGAATTAAAATTAATCGTATACCCTATACAATTAGTTTTGTTTTAGTGTTTTTCATACGATCCTGAAGTTAGACCGGTTCAGAATGCGTATTTTTTAAATAATGTACGGTAAAATAGAAAACGTATTTTTCGTTATTCAAAAAAAAAATGCCTTATTTATATATGAAACTATGAAAGATACGTAAAAAATGATAGATAACAAAAATGTAGCTTTTTTTTTCAACAAATATTTTGTTTTTTTTCATTCCTATAGCATAAAAAATAAAGGAGATATTGCCGCTTGAAGTATCCATTTTAGTGAAAAAACAACCTGTCTCGAGCCCTTCGACCCTTTCCCTTTAAAAAACGAAGGACTTTAAAGGTATTATATGCAAACGATCTTACAGCTCTTGAAATTATCTTTAAAAAGCTTTTTTGTAGGATAGCTTCAAAATTAACCGAGTTATGGTAAAAAAGACCAATGACATTTTTCGGGCTTATGTCACTTTTGAACTTGAGCCTAAGATGAGCCTTATTCTAAATTTTCATGCAAATCCATGCAGTTTCAAAGAATTCGGAGGTTACAGCTGATTTTCAGCTTCAATGACCATAAGCGTGTATCAATATAGACGAATGTGGCAAAATGATTTAGAGATAGAAATAACTTATGCGAATTTCTATCATACTAACTACTCTTTTTCATAATATGTTATTATTGTGGATTTATTGAATACATTCTAAGAAATTTCTGTTAATTTATTTTTATATTGTTATAAACAAAAATAATTTATGCCAACAATTTCCTTTATTTTAGGTAAAATGTACATCTCAATTATTGTTCGCTCTTCAACTCTTTAATTCTAACTAACCTATCCTCCCTTTCTATTCCTATATCCAACTACCTTGTTTATAATATTATTTAAGTATATATTATGCAATTAATAACACTATTTTAAATTGAATTAATTTATTTTCATTATGCAGAAGGCTTACTATTTGAATCTTAAGCACAGGGTTCTTTGGGCTTTTCCCATATTTCTGAATATTAAACAGATGTACGAAGAAAAGTGTAGGAACAAAGCCATTTTTAAATAGGACGCTCATACATTTTTACATATTTGGATAAACCACTTACTTATAGTGACGTAATGTTTGGTTTAAAAAAGTTATGTCAGTTTCGTTTCGATACAGTCCATATTTATTTGTTTATAAAAGATAACATATGAAAAGGTTTTTTTTTTTTTTTGAAAACTGTGTATATAAATTATTCAATTAAATATTCATCTATTTATAATGATATTTTATTATACAGCATGTATATTATATCATTCTCTTAGTTATTTTTCTTATTTATTTACGTCTTTAAAAAGTTTCTGCTGCTGTTACGTAATTATCCGTCTTTTTAAACCTAGCGACGAAGCTTTTGATGTCGTGAATATTCTTCCATTACACTCTTGTTCCATGTCTTCTCCCTCTTTTCTTTTGTTATTGCTATATGTCATGGTGACTGGATATCCTAAGGCTACTATTGTACCATTAGATAACATTAGTGTGACGTGGCATACGTGAAAGCATTTTTTACGTAATTATAATAAAAAAACTTGAAATATATCGATATAATATACAATGTGCGTTCCAAAGTAAACAGGATTTTTTAAAAATAAGAACAACAACACAAGCCTCTTGGATGGCTTTTACGTCTACAAAAAGTTTCCCTTTCATCGGCAAATGCATTTTTCCAAAAAAAGTCACACGATGCCAAATCAGGCGAATACGGGAAATCGGTGACAAGTGTCGATCGATGAGACGGCGCATGGTTTAACAAACGCCAACTTCCTTCTGCGCGATATCCTGACCGAATACGACGAATATGATGCACCTTCAAAACGTCAAGATGGAATCGTGTATTAACGGTTTGGTCCGATGGAACCAACTCTTTGTAAACAATGCCCTTGGGATCGTAAAAGCAAATCAACATTGTCTTCAC